AATCGAACCCGGGACATCTCGCTTGCGAGGCAAGAACGGTACCGCTTCTACCACCGATCCCCCCAGTACAGGTAAAGTAATTCCCAAATGTTGACAGTATCATAGACGCGGTGCCTTCACCTGGACATAAGAGAGACCTAGCCTAAAATCTTACTGTTGGGGTCACCGAGTGTTGTGGTCATCTTTAAAACAACATATAATAAAATAATAAATCAGGATTTTTTCCCCATTAGGTTCTCAGTCCCACTAACTCCCTAACATCCCCATTATATTCTCCAGCTCTCAGAAAATGAACCACTTTTACATAAGGCTCTTAGATTCTCCTTAAAGCCTTATATAAACACTATAATAATATAATAAATACTATTTGTAAGAATAAGCCAATACTCCGTCACCCGCCATAGTAACTTACAGGGCAGTTATTTATATTCTCACTCATTATTGTTTGCACGGACGACTCAGAATATTTACTAACAAATTCTCAGCACGCCAATACAAACATCGTCATACACTTCCTTCAGGATATCAAAACTAAAGTAAAACATTTGGTTAAGGAAGAACCGGTTTTTGCTTCGTCGCCCTCAATGATATTATATATATTTAACATAATCTGGGAAACAAAATGTTGACGCCACTAGTCACCTATAAACAGCATGTACTGATAACTTCCTCAGTATGACACGATATAACATAAAGGTAAAATTGTTGACAAGAGTTTTTAACCCAGACAAGAGACCAGACGTAAGTTACACCCAGTTTTACGAGTGACGAACCACGAGCGGCTACACCTGTCATGTTTGGTGAGTTAGCGTCACTACTCACCCCTGACTGAGAATCTTGGACCACTATCTCGGAAATTTGTACGTTAAATCATCCCCTAATGGTGATCTGAGGATAGTTCTAAATGGCTTATTGGAACTAGAATGCAGAAATAGTCGCATTGATAGAGACTCAACCATAAAAAGTACGCTCTCTTATTTACAGAAGAAAAAACTAACGCAATAACCTTTAAAAATCAGGACCACAGTGGAATTTAAGAAACGAATCCTATACACCAGCAGGCGGATGTGACTCAATGTTTAATAAATTCGTGACTGCGGTGGTCTTGTTTACTGAGTGTCATCATCTTGTCTTGTGTGATGGCGAGGGTGACTTTATTGACGTTGATCGCAGAAAAAATAATGGTAATATTTATCAAGGTTTATTGCTAGAAGAAGTATTGGTAACAGTGTTAGTATAGGTAATGGTGAGAATTATAACACTAGTATTAGGTGAAGCAGTAGTTACGTGAATAAAGGAAACCTCATTATTTCCCATACATTTCTTGATCTTTGTCATATAAAAATTAGGTATGTTTTTTGTTTTTTTTGTTTTTTACATATTGCAGATAAATTACCACTCTCTCTCTCTCTCTCTCTCTCTCTCCTATATCTAGCCATTGTTCTCGCTCCCTCCCCTCCCCTTTAACCTCTATATATCCTACCAAGGCAATCATTTCTCTCACGTTTTTTGCTCCTTAGCCCCAGGCGTAAAGTTCCCCAACCATCCCATAAGTCTCATTAACACAGTCAAATCCTGCAGTTGGAGTTGGTCGTGATGGTGGAAGGGGGATGTGGTAGAGTATTGGGGCTTGTATTGTGGGAAAAGCCCAGACCAACTAGGTCATTTGAGGTCAGGTTGCTGTCCGGTGCGGTCGGGTAGAGGGAAATCCACTCAGACCGTTCAGGAAGACCCGAAAGAGGGATGTAAGTGTGGATATACAATTGTAGCTTCGGGTCACGTACAGCTATACCTTACTGCTCTATTACAGGTACCTAACCTAACCTAACCTAACCTAATCTACAGGTATACTGGTACCTTACTGATCACGTGTGGTGTAAAATTGTTTATCTTCCATCCGAGTATTTCTGTCTCTCTCTGTCTATATGATTTACCTGTAAGTCTATTTATTAATTAATCTATCTATCTATCTAACCATCCATCTATCTATCTATCTATCTAGCCGTCTATCTAGCCATCTATCTATCTATCTATCTATCCATCCACCATCTTCTTAGGCGAAAGCTAAAGAATTTTTATCATCCAAGACAATACAAAGTCGCTCCCATCTGCTTGGGTTACAACACTGGAGGTTCTTCACCGCGGAGAGTGGCTCTTACGGTCAGGCGTGATTAGTGTCATTTTTAACGGTCAGATATAAACAAAACACAATATAAGCAACTTTCCTGCCAGTGTCTTATGGTAAACTCCTCGGATCACCTGTAGATTAGCCATCAGATTAAACACCCTAACACTACCTGGTGGATGGGAGGGTGTTAGGTTAGGTTAGATTAGGTTAACGTTAAAGTGGTTAATTTTAAGGTGAAGCAGGGGGAGTAATTCTCAAGTGATCCAACTCTTTTCCTAGTTGGGAATCCATTGATCTTTTTGTGTTTATTTTTTGTATATATATTCAGCCGCTTTTAGCATCGGCATATTTTCAAACTTATTATGAAGACAGCACTGAAAATTCACTAATTTGTGTCATAATCATAACACAGGCACTGACCTCAAACCAACAGGCCAGTGAGATGGGTGTGGGGGATAGAGATTACGTCAGGGGGGTGTGAGGGAATCCCAGATCTAACCCTGGTATAGGTTGAGGATCACTCCACAGGTCTCCATGGTCTGCTGGTTATTGGTATCTGCACTTACTTTATCTTCCTCAAAAACATTACTCTGTGTTTGGACTACAGCCACACTCTAGACTACACACACACACACACTCTGGACTACACACACACACACACACTCTGGACTCACACTCTAGACTACACACACACACACACTCTGGACTACACACACACACACACACTCTGGACTACACACACACACACTCTAGACTACACACACACACACTCTGGACTACACCCACACCCTGGACTACACACTCTGGACTACACACACACACCCTGGACTACACACTCTGGACTACACACAAACACTCTGGACTACACCCACACCCTGGACTACACACTCTGGACTACACACACCCTGGACTACACACACACACACCCTGGACTACACACCCACACACCCTGGACTACACACACACACACACCTGGACTACACACACACACACACACCCTGGACTACACACACACACACACACACACTGGACTACACACACACCCGGACATTTAAAAAGATAAGTTCTGTATCTAAGGTGTAAGGCTAAAAAAGATGATATTGTTTTGGTTGTAGAAGTTTCAATCAGACAGAAAAGTGGTTATCTCTATCGTACATATAACAACTTGTCTCAGTATATACAAAACACGATTAGAGTCCATAGAATATTCTCTCTCTCTCTCTCTCTCTCTCTCTCTCTCTCTCTCTCTCTCTCTCTCTCTCTCTCATCACAATATATGTTTCAACAATAACAAATCACAAAACATAAACATCGTAGACGCTTCAGCTCGGGTCTAAATCTCTAAGAGTGAGAGTCATACACACACACACACACGCACACACACACACACACACACACAGGTGCATTAACGAACTTACTGGACAAAGAAATAAAAATAAAAATATTGGAGAAGGTGTATCTTTGATGAACTAAATCTACGATCATTAGCAGAAACATTTATCTTACTCTCTCATTTTATTTATCATTTCTAACTTCATAATATGCAAGAGAAACCCTGTAACTAATACTGTATTCTGAACCCTGGACACAGAACTTGGCCCAACCTAACCCTTCTTTACCTTACCTAATTTAACCTAACCATAACATTTCTAGGATCGTTTAGTGGTGCTGCAGGAGGTACTTTTCTAATACTGTATGTCTTTCCGTTACAACATTTTCGTTCTAAAGCACAGTCTCCTACTGATTGGTGGATACTGTCTCTAAGCAACTTAAAACACTAGTATTAAAACGCTCTTGTTGGAGTTATTATCATCACTGTATATGTGTTAAAGGTGATAGCACTGTCATGTAATCCTAGTGAGGTATCGCCAAGAATAAACTCGGTGAAGCCCTGACGTGTCGTGAGAGAGTTAACAATGGCGAGGAGCTGTTGTGTAACACCTGAGGACGTGGGTCGGATTAAAGATCGAAACAAAATAATATACTTGTGTTCTTGATATAAAAACCGCGTAAAGACTGTATCTAAAAGTGAGTTTTGTACCTGGAGATAAATATACTTTATTAATTACGAGATGGAATTATGCGTCTAAAAGAAGTACAAGAAAGTCCCTCAGGTGGGGTCCAGCTTCAGTACTGTTATTCTTCACTTATCTTGACAATGGGAACTCTGTCAACACATGTTTTTCCTTCTGTATATAACTTGCAGGTCTTCTTATGTTGAGCACAAAAGCACTGCCTAATAATATCCTTAATGTTCATTTATCTTACTAGAGGCAGGAGTACAGGAGCTGGTGTCGGCACAGCCCCCGTAGGTGGCAGTTCTCTTGTTTCTCTCCCAGTACTTAAAAGTCGATAGCTGATAGTAAATAATGGCAGACACTTCAGCCATTAATCCCGTAATGCAACTTTAACACTCAGCAAAGTCACGGTCGACGAGGCTAACCTTAACCACCTTGACCTGAAGCCTAACCAGAATAAGAAAAAAAAACAATGACAATCCGATGTATTGTGTAAATTTTAGGCAGATAAAAGAGAGCTTCAGGATCTTCATGATGCATGTAAATGTTTCTGTTGTGTGTTGAGTATACAGATCACTATAAGCTGCGGACAATAATTAGACTAAAAATACAGTTTGTGAACATTATACGGGCTATAATTACTTAGATATTTATAAATAGCATTGATTTTTTTATTGTGTGCGTCCTATGTGGGTCCCTGGACTCATGGGGCACGTTCTTGAAATCAAATGAAAGATGATCTGCGAGTATAAATCGAGGAACCGGTCGACCAACCGCGGCGCCCTCTGGGGAGACCGGGAAAATCCAACATCCTGCTACCATTCAGCGCAGGGCGAGGGCTATATATAAGGCCGGGGAAGGAGTGCTGTTAAACACAGTGGACCTGCGGCTCTGGACAGAGGTAACGCACCACAGTAGTGAGTTTGTGGACCTGAATTTAAGGAACTTCGGCTGCTGATCTGTGAAACCTCAACAAACCATCGCCAGTAAGTCTCATCTTGTTTGGATAGCTTTTAGATTACTTCTGCAGAGTTACTCTCAGCTCCGCCTAAGACTGAAGCTTCCGCAATAGGTTTTTCACCATACATCTACATAAGTTACAAATAAGAGTATTATTAAATGCTAATACACCAAATTCAATAAAAATTCTCAAAATTACAGTGTCAGCTGATGACAAAACCATTAGAGTTTGTTTACAGCTGCTTTAAGTAACAACAAAAGGTCAAAATGGTGGCACCAAGTGAACTCTGCATGGGCATCTGTTTGGGTTTAGCATAATACCTGTGTCCGCATGTTTTATGTGAGAAATGTTCAGTATGATGTATGTAATGATGTATGTGTATGTGTGTGTGTGTGTGTGTGTGTGTGTGTGTGTGTGTGTATGTGTGTGTGTGTGTGTGTGTGTGTGTGTGTATGTATGTGTGTGTGTGTGTGTGTGTATGTATGTGTGTGTGTGTGTGTGTGTGTGTGTGTGTGTGTGTGTGTGTGTGTGTGTGTGTGTGTGTGTATGTGTGTGTGTGTGTGTATGTGTGTGTGTGTGTGTGTATGTATGTGTGTGTGTGTGTATGTATGTGTGTGTGTGTGTGTGTGTGTGTGTGTGTGTGTGTGTAAAACCATAAATTTCATTGCATTACACGGTTGAAGAAATTGAATATGCAGTCTCCTCATGCAGAGAAGAACGTCCCAAGGGATGGAAGGAGGGGCGGAGAGGTTCTCCATCAACCCCCTCCCCTCCTCGCCCCGCCCCTCCCCTTCCTTTCCAGCCCCGCCCCGCTCCCACCACACCACCTCGGCCTCTGATCTCATTTTGGGGTGATGATTTAAATCGTAATCGATTTCCTCACGAAACGCACAACCTTAAGTTTGAAGAATGTCGAGTCTTAGCTGGTCCTTAGCGGGTGCGGGATTGTGTAATGGTTTTGCACCTGGTATTAATGCATCTATTGTTTATTATCGTTATATTTATTATTATTATTATTATTATTTTTATTATTATTGTTATTATCATTATTATTATTATTATTATTATCAAAATTGTATAAAAAATAGAACGATAAGTTTATGAGATTTAAAATATTAAAATGGGTGTAAACTATATTTATAATTTCTCTGTTTTTCTCCAGTGCGCGTGTCTATGGTCGTCATGGTGGGGCTAGTGGGGGTCTGTTGCGCCCACTGGCCAGCCAAGAAGACCTACTCGTACAGCGGAGGGTCCAGGAGATCGTCAGCGGCATCGTCAGCAGCGTCGTCAGCAGCGTCATCTTCCAGCTCCTCCTCATTTAGTTCTGCTGGATCCGGTGCTTTAGCAGGGTGGGTGGCTGACATACATACATACAAATTACATGTACTTACAGTCTAGTAAATACAACGGTTGATTTTTCTCTTATTGGCAGACATTTTTAGGTAGAGCCAAATGAAGACAATCCTCAGTTACAGACCTCGTAAGTCTCTGAGAAGATACCCGGCTAAGGTGCACATAATAGGTTCAGAATCCTTAGTGTTGATGTCAAGTAATACTCGCATTTAATACAGACTTAAACGAGGGAGTTTCAGTTTGGGGGGGTGAGGTGCCGACCACTGGGGACAACCACAAAATTTCACCTTGTGGGCACTACTAGGGTGCAAGTGCGTCGCCATGCCAACTTTGAGCAGACAAACAAACAGACACTGTGATTTACGCATGTAGTACTATTCTAAAAGAAACTTAATAGACACTTTCTACTTAGCGATAATAAAATGTCTTTTCTTCTAAAAGTATTTTATAAATATTCACTTCATATTAATATAGTGAATACAGTTGTGTCGTTAAAATAATCGTTTAATATTCGTTCATAAATATTTTGTCTCCCCTTCACATTTGTTTATTTTCTTTACTCTGTTCTTTTTACAGATCTGGTGGTAAAGGCTCTGGCAGTCATGGTTCCGCAGGCGGCTTAGGGTCTGGTGGTTCAGGAGGCCTTGGGTCCTCAGGCGGCTTCGGTGCTGGTGGTTCAGGAGGCCTTGGGTCCTCGGGCGCCTTCGGGTCTGGTGGTTCAGGAGGCCTTGGGTCCTCAGGCGGCTTCGGTGCTGGTGGTTCAGGAGGCCTTGGGTCCTCGGGCGCCTTCGGTTCTGGTAGTTCAGGAGGCCATGGGTCGTCAGGCGCCTTCGGTTCTAGTGGTTCAGGAGGCCTTGGGTCCTCAGGCGCCTCCGGTTCTAGTGGTTCAGGAGGCCTTGGGTCCTCAGGCGCCTTCGGTTCTAGTGGTTCAAAAGGCCATGGGTCTTCAGGCAGCTTCGGTTCTGTGTAGTTCAGGAGGCCTTGGGTCTGCAGGCCTTCGGTTCTGGTAGTTCAGGAGGCCTTGGGTCTGCAGGCGGCTTCTTCTGGTAGTTCAGGAGGCCATGGGTCTTCAGGCGGCTTCGGTTCTGGTAGTTCAGGAGGCCATGGGTCTTCAGGCGGCTTCTGGTTCTGGTAGTTCAGGAGGCCTTGGGTCGTCAGGCGGCTTCGGTTCTGGTAGTTCAGGAGGCCATGGGGTCGTCAGGCGGCTTCGGTTCTGGTAGTTCAGGAGGCCTAGGCGGCTTCTGGTTCTGGTAGTTCAGGAGGCCTTGGGTCTTCAGGCGCTTCGGTTCAGGAGGCCTTGGGTCTTCCAGGCGGCTTCAGTTCTGGTAGTTCAGGAGGCCATGGGTCGTCAGGCGCCTCCGGTTCTAGTGGTTCAGGAGGCCTTGGGTCCTCAGGCGCCTCCGGTTCCTGTGTGGTTCAGGAGGCCTTGGGTCCTCAGGCGCCTACGGTTCTGGTAGTTCAGGAGGCCATGGGTCGTCAGGCGGCTTTGGCTTAGTTCAGGAGGCCATGGGTCGTCAGGCGGCTTGGTTCTGGTAGTTCAGGAGGCCATGGTCGTCAGGCGGCTTCGGTTCTGTAGTTCAGGAGGCCTTGGGTCTTCAGGCGGCTTCGGTTCTGGTAGTTCAGGAGGCCTTGGGTCCTCAGGAGCCTTCGGTTCTGGTAGTTCAGGAGGCCATGGGTCCGCCTCCGGTTCTAGTGTTCAGGAGGCCTTGGGTCCTCAGGCTTCGGTTCTGGTAGTTCAGGAGGCCGGGTCGTCAGGCGGCTTTGGTTCTGGTAGTTCCAGGAGGCCATGGGGTCGTCAGGCGCCTTTCTAGTGGTTCAGGGAGGCCTTGGGTCCTCAGGCGGCTTCGGTTCTGTAGTTCAGGAGGCTTTGGGTCTTCAGGCGGCTTGGTTCTGGTAGTTCAGGAGGCCTTGGGTCTTCAGGCGGCTTTGGGTTCTGGTAGTTCAGGAGGCCATGGGTCGTCAGGCGCCTCCGGTTCTAGTGGTTCAGGAGGCCTTGGGTCCTCAGGCGCCTTCGGTTCTAGTGGTTCAGGAGGCCTTGGGTCCTCAGGCGCCTCCGGTTCTAGTGGTTCAGGAGGCTTTGGGTCCTCAGGCGCCTACGGTTCTGGAGGTTCTGGAAGCCATGGGTCCTCAGGAGGTCGTGGTTCCTCAGGGTTTGCGGGACTCTTCCCTTCTGGTGGCTCCAAAGGCCGTGGATCAGCTGGTTCTGGAGGCCGTGGATCATCGGGAAGCTTTGCGTCCGGTGGCTCTGGAGGTTTTGGTAGTAGTAGTGCTGGAAGCCATGCATCGGCTGGCAGTTTCAGTTCTGCCTCCGCCTCCGCCAGCTCATCCAAAGGTATGACTATGAACTTAGGACTTAAGGTTAAAAAATAAGTTAACTGTCTAGCTGATTGAATACTGAATTATGTGATGAATATAATGCTATAGGTCACTGTTTCAATATATATATATATATATATATATATATATATATATATATATATATATATATATATATATATATATATATATATATATATAATTTTTTATTTTTTATTATTTTTTTTTTTTATTTATGCGTGTATCTCCTTCTTAAAGTGCGTCCTCGACCATCCAGTGGTGGAAGTTATTATGGTAAGTGAGTGCACCAACGGCAACGCCTGCAGCTGGTCTGGAGAGTACTACCCCAGCATATTCAACCCTCAGCAGACGTTAGATGGCTACGGTGAAACAGCGGTAAACATAACGGAAAATGTTGCGGTGAAAGATTGGATATTTTTGCTAGAGTTTAACGTTACCCTTGGCAAATTTTGGAGTAATTCGTTCTTTAATACCTGCTGCCTATGGCATAGCCGGTGAAGGGTTTCTAATATATAAAACTGAGTATATCATGTAAACCATGTTCACTTGTTTAAAAGCAGAAGACAACATTTTGGCGTCCAAATTTGCTTAGTGCCAGTTCATCTCTGTACTTGTGAAGTGGAAATACATGTATAAACCTTTTAGTCTTACAGTGAAAAGGAGAAGCTTTGATATTAATTATTTAAATAAAATTACTGTTTGAAATAGTGTGTGTAAGTCAACTTCCATCATCCTTCCTCTCCACACTGGGCTCCCTCACTCCCACGGGTGTTCCAACATAGTTTAAGCCTTGCAATATGTATTGCCAATAATCAAAATATTTTCGTGTTCGCATAATTAGTCTCTGTTATTATTATTATTTTTCTCATTATTATTTAGCCACTCAAAACTCTTATTGTTACACTGAATTAAGTGTTCGAACCCAGCAATATTTGGAAAGAAAATTAATCTTTAGAGAATAAACAGTCGGTTTTACCCAAAGGGAAACAAAATATTCTAAGGTACTGCAGTAAACAATCTATGAACAAGACTGCTACATCGTGCATCTTCTCAATGAGATAAGAACAAAATTGGACTGAATGTAAGTGGTTCATTAATGTTAAGACTATTGCAAAACTATGTCTATAAATGAGGATAAACATGACAAAACAGATATTACTTTCACACACACACACGCACGCACACACACACACACACACATACACACACACACACACACATATATATATATATTTCATGTAAATCCACAATGAAAACGTGGATAAGATAAATCTTGATAAAATCACACGGGAAAATGGAAACAACGGACCCACAAAATAACTATCATACATCCAGATCAAAGGAAACATAAGGTAACAACATAAGTATAATATCAGAACAGCATCTGAAAGCAGTGCCTTGTTCGTTCATGTTAGGAATAATAATCATCCCATTGCTTGGGAAAAAAGCTTAGAAGTATTTAAATCATCTTGTGTCACAGAAAGACTTCTGGTTGAAGCTAGTTTGATTAAGGAATTAAAATCAATAAACCTTAGTGATGGTCAGTTCAAAACTGATAATATGTTACATAAATTTATTTGTCAGTGGCCCAAGGTTAAAAATGCTTTGAAAACCTTTGATCTAGATGTATGATAGTTATTTTGTGGGTCCCTTATTTTTGACCTGACCTGACTAGTCACGTCACCCCCCTTCTCTTAAGCTCCTCTACGTGTGTGTTGGTGTGGGGATTAGTGGATGACATCATTATGACCTGACCTCATGTTTTTAAGGTCACCCTGTATATTTAAGCCTCTCTCTGTCCATGTAATCCAGTTGCCTCTGAAGATGTCTCGAAAGCTAAAGATGTTTCCAATAAGACCCTCCGTTGTTTCCATTTTCCCGTGTGATTTTATCAAGACATCATATATATATATATATATATATATATATATATATATATATATATATATATATATATATATATATATATATATATATATATATACAAGTGTGTGTGTAGTCTCCTCCCTCTCCCCTTCCCCCCAACATTACCGAGTCCAGCAAGAGAAGTACCATATACGGTTTTGTTTACAGGTAACTCAAGTATCTCAAATATACAATATTATGACCGCTAAAACTATTCGCGGATTTGACAATTCGCGGGAGTCTGCGAAACCCTGAGAATAGCAAAGGCCAATTTTAGTAGTATGAGGATTAATTATAAGCAACTAACTATTGATGCATGTTTAACTACCCTTTCCATATCTGATATCTACTAAAATTGCTTTAATACAAAACACCAAACATGTGGTCATGAGGATAGAACCAAGATAGGACTCAGGGTTGGGTCTCTATTCCATGACCCTCTGGCTCTTCCTGGCGTGGTCAGCGTTCCTCAAACAGACCACACTTCTGAATAAACAATACTACAAAAAAACTTTCCTTTCACACTAAATCAACATTTTCGTTACTTCCGAAACAGATACTTAAGTGTGTGTGTGTGTGTGCACAGGGTGGTGTAATGTGTCTAGTGTAGCAGCATTATGTTAGTGTTAAGGTGTAATCACTGCTTGCTTCCTCTCGCTTTCAGTTACGACCACTAGCTAGCCCTCGTGGTGAACAGGGAAGCAACGTGCATAAGTCTTCCCCTGACAGTACACAGCCTCTTCACCATCAAGACTCCTTCTGTCCTCCTCGTGGCAACATACGGTAACTGGGTGCCTCGTAGGCCCAGGCTAGACCAGCAGGGGATCTCGGAGCAACAGTGGGCCCCAGAGGGATGGTGCATAGGCCCGCTGGCATGTGGACACGCCCTGGCGCCTACCAACCATTGCCTTGCTGCCTTGCGGATTAATCTTGGTAGGCACAAGGCTACGGGAGTAAACCCCAAACAAAATATCTGTGGTGGAGCCCGCAACAAGCAGACACACTTACAGAGCCCCAGTAAGACCCCAATGGCAGTATAGGCAGAAGAGGTGACCAACATGGGAAACCAAAGACTACACCAGCTGATGAAGGGAATGCAAGATGGACAGGCTACTAATGCGAAACCCAACAAACTGGGCTATCGGCAGTCCATTGCATTTCTCCCTTTCCTCAGTCGTTGCAAAACTTTTACCAATGGATCAGGAAAGGAGAGAGTCAAGATGTGTGGTTACAGCCTGTGCTCCTGCCTCACCACTTAAATCAACTCACGGGCAGCCATCATCCAGCTCACCGCACTTCTCATCATCATCAAAACCCCTATATCACCAAAAGTTCTATGATGATGGATGAGTGGCGACGGGGACAGGCAGAGATGACTGGCGGGAGTCTCTATTCACAACTCTGCACAAGGGCGGCATAAATAAGATGCACTGGGACCTACGCAGAAGTGCAATCCGGTCCTGTCTGTGCGACTGAGCAGCCCTTTCGAGGAGCTTCTCTGCTCACCCCACAAGGGGAGGGGCTAGAAAAGGTGCCCTAAACATAGCCTGCCTAAAGAACCAACCTGACTGAAAAACTGCACCCAGTAAGATCATCCTTTTGCGGTCGAAAACACAATTATAATCACAGATCAAAACAAAAACAAACTATACAACCTCTTATGGTCACTGCATGGAATATCAGGACAATTCTGGATACTGTCACAAATGAGCGTCCTGGAAGAAAACCGCCCTTGTGGCTAAAGAGCTGGTTAGGTATAACATAGACATACTGTAGCAGCCATTAGTGAGTCCCGGCTCCTAGACGAGGGTCGACTCACAGAACGGGGGTCTAGCTATACCTTTTTTTCTGGAAGGGTAAGCCTGCTGCAGAGAAAAACCGCATTTATGGAGATGGCTTTCCTGTCTTCCAATGTATCCTCGATAGGCTAACTAAAATCCCTGTTGGGGTCAACAAGCGCCTCATAACACTCCAAGTCCCACTGAATAACTCACGTCATGCCTTCTTCATCAGTGCATACGCCCCAACACTGGATGCAGAGAATGGCATCATCAAGGAGGCCTTTTATGCTGATCTTGACAGAGTGCGAACCTTTATCCCAAGAGATGATAAGGATGTGCTCCTAGATGACTTCAATGACAGAGTTGGCAGAGATGCTAACAAATGGCAGGGAATTATAGGAAGGAATGGACTAGGCAAGAGTAATCCCTACGGCCTGCTCCTCCTCAGCAAGTGTACTGCACACAACTTCACGATCACCAATACCCTGTTCAGGCAGGACGACAAGTTCAAGGGTTCGTGGCAACACTCACGATCCAAACACTGGCATCTCATTGACTACATCATTGTCAGAGAAAGAGATCGCCGAGATATCCTCATCACCCGTGCCATGCGTGGCTCAAACCACTGTGACACCGATCATTGCCTAGTCCGAGCCAAACTCTCACTTCACATTGTCCCAAAATGGCGAAGGCAACAAGCCTCCAGAAGAGGCTTTAACACTGAGCGTCTGGAGGATCCAGCGGTAGTACATGCTTTCAGAGAGCAGCTCGAACATGGGCTGATAAACAACCGGAGAACAAACAACCCAAATCCCAGTGCTGAATGGGGTATTCTCGACACTGTCATGACAAAAACCTGCAGAGAGACCCTCGGCCAGATCCAAATCAACATACTCATAGATGATAAACGTTCTACTTTAACTGACTGGCAGAACAACCCTCAGTCTCGGATCAAAGCTGATACCTTTCGCAAGAAGAAAGCAGCGGCCCAGCATGAACTTTTCGATCTAAATAATGACTGGACTTGCAGGTCAACACAAAATGCACGAATTTTTCAATTCCACCAAAACATTTTATGGGCCAATCACTCATGCCACACCCCCCCTCCCCCCCTGCGCTCATTCGATGGTAACTCTCTAATTAAAGACGAAGAAGACATCCTTCTGCACTGGAAAGAGCACTACCATTCACTACTCAACCGAAACACCGATGTGGATGTCCTGTCAACCCAGCAGTTCCCTCAGCATCCAGAGTTAGCCCACCTCAGCTAATCTCCATCCCTGGATGAGGTAGCTACTGCCATCAAACATATGAAAAATAACAAAGCCTCAAGGTCTGATGGAATCCCAGCCGAGGTGCATAAAGCGGGAGGAACTCTGCTTACCAGCCGTCTCCAATCTCTCCTGGAGAATATATGAGAAAAGGAGGAAATCCCCCAAACTCTTAAAGACGTCTCCGTCGTCAATATTTATAAGCACAAGGGAGACCGGTCAGACTGTGGCAACTACTGCGGGACCTCGCTGCTGTCCGTAGTTGGCAAGAATATCACCCGAGTCTTCCTAAACAGACTTCTTCCTGAAACGGAAAACTTCCTTCCAGAATCTCAATGTGGCTTTAGAGTGGTGTCAAACTCATGGCCCGTGGGCCAAATGTAGCCCTTGGGATGGTCAGGTGTGGCCCGCGGGATGACGGTAAAATTTATCATCCCGTGAAATTATGAAAGAAATAGATATAATCATGTTTATTTAGTAAAATTAATTTTACATACTTAAGATCAGACAAACCCAAATGAGGTATTCTGCCAGGTAAGGCAATGTGTGTGGAGCTGTAAACTTCAATCCTGCAAATATGTGATATAGCACTTATGTTGGCCCTGAAAAGGGTAACTAAAATAAGAATTGGCCCTCGAAAGGTTTCGAGTTTGACACCACTGCTAGTTAGACCATCACATGGCACCACTGACATGATCTTTGCTGCCCGCCAGATACAGGAGAAGTGCAGAGAACAGCATCGTGACCT